AATGCCAAGATCTCTGTCTATCTGATGAAAACAAGGCCAGTTCTGTGTGACAGCAAAAACACAAAGTGCAAAACAACACCAGGTCATCCAAAAAGATGTCAACTTTTGTCAGACCGCAAACACGAAGCAGCGTCCAGATAAGGTCTAGCACGTGTTCCCGTAGTAGCATTGTATGAAGATGATCTCATGGCCGTGCGGAGAAAACAAATGTCGACGATAATCCAACACAGACGGCATTTATCACTTGAGCATCCGACCACCGGTGGCTCGCGATGCTGCTTTTGTCGCTGACAACTGGAAGATGGAAATCTTTCTCATGAAACGCCTCACCACGCCATGTTCTCGTTGGCACCCTGGCCACCGCGCTCTTGTCCTTGCCTGACTTGTTTCTAACAATGGAACAAATCGGGCTCAATTTGAGCAATGAAGCATCCCAAGAACATTTATTTTCAGCAGCAAATGTACAATTGAAATGCAGAAAAAAATGTTGCACTCGGGGGTGTTCTTCACGCTACTAGACAGAGAAATTCGAAGTTTTAAATTATCTGTGAATTGGGTATTTGCCAGTGTGACTGCAGCGTAAAAATTGGGAGAGCAGACATAAGCGATCAGTGTGTGTCTGATGTGTCAATAAAGTAGGCCGAGTGATGCTTTCATAAGTGTTAAAAAAAACAAACTATGAAATTGAAAAATATTTCCATAAATATCTTGAACAGACTTCTTTGTCTTTTCGTGCTTTCTTGGATCATTTCCACTCTGATGATATTCATGAAGTCATCCATCTTTTTTACTGCTTAACCTCATTAGGGTTAGGAGTGCTGCAGCCAAAACCCACTGATTTGGTGAGAGACAGAAGGTGCACCATGGACTGGTCGGGGCGGGGGAGTGGAGTACCCGGACAAAACCCACGCAGCCACGAGGAGAATGTCACCTCCACACAGGCAGGCCGGAACACTGAATCGAATCCTGTACCTCTGTACTGTGAGGTCAACGTACGAACAAGTCATCCATTGTGCTGCCCTTACATGTATTTCCAAAACAACTACACTACATGCAATGCCATAAATTCTGAATTTTTTTGCTGGGTTTCCCCACTTTATTGTTTAAGATTATCAAACAAATGTAAATATCAGACAGAGATAAAAAAAAAAGTCAACATAAAGTGCAGTTTTTTAATTTTATTTAATGGGGGTGCGTCTTCAAAGCTTCTTGGCCATGTATGAAAAAGTATTCTCCCCCTTTCTTAAAATGATGAATTACCCATCTATCGATCCAGTTTCTAATCCTCTTTGGGTCCTCAAGGGTTGTGAGCGTGCTGGAGCCTATTCCGGCCATCTTCGAGGAGTAGGCGGGGTACACCTTGGACTGGTTGCCAGCCAATCGCAGGACACACATCCGTGCTCACAATCAACCCTAGCGACAATTTTGAATGTTCCATGCATGTTTTTTGGAATGGGGAGGAAACTGGAGTACCCGGAGAAAACCCACACAGGCACGAGGAGAACAGGCAAATCCAACACAGGAAGACCAGAGCCAGAATCGAACCCTGCACCTCTGCACTGTGAGGCCAATGTGCTAACCAGTCGACCACCTGCTGTCCAATCATGAATTAACTGTGGGTCATCACTTTTTTTTTTTTTTTTTTGAAAAGGCTGAGCTCATTTCTACTGACCACACGCCTGATTACCTCCAGACCTGCTCAATCAAGAAATTACTTCCGGTCTTTTCACTCAGCCCTCGACTCTGCATTTTTTTTTTTTTTGTGTTCTATGGTGTTTTCTGTTTTTATTTTATTGGTTTCTTGTTTTGATTTTCTTTATTTTTATATGTCTGACATTTACTCCACATAGACTTGTTTAGCACTTTCTGTTCAGCTATGTTTATTTTTAAGTGCTCTATAAATAAAGCTGAGTTGAGTTGCGTCGCAGATGTCACTTGAAAAAGCTGAGCAAAATATTCAAATTAATACATAAAAATAGATAAAAACGGATTTATCACTTGTTTATAGTTTGTAGTGGTATTGAGGTGAGAACTGTTTCTCGTACGTTCCCTGTAAAGTGATTATTCTATGTATTGGTCCATGCCATAGTTATTGCAAATCCTAACCTTTCCCACCCTGTATTTCTGGCATCGTAACAGTCTGTGCATCTGACTGTATCGTATTCCAATTATATCCCGAAACAACCAAAGTCCATAACACGGATCGTCCGCCAGCTCAGTCTGAACCCGTCAAATGTGCGTGCGTGTGTGGTCTTTAACAGGTCAAAGGGAGCTTGGGGTCAAATAGGAGGCATATTCTCACATGTTAGGGATTGTGAGGACAGGGTTGCGTGTATATATGCATGTGCACGCGTGTCTGTGTGTGTGTGTGTGTGTGTGTGTATATGTTCCCATTAAGCTGTTGTGAAAGACTAAGCTGGGAGGACATCAGGTCTCTGTATCCTCGCAGCACCTCACTGTTATGTATGGACAGAGTGTGCGACTTCAATGTAATAGTAATGCTCAATTTTGATGAAAAAAAACATCAACAGTCACAATCAAAAAGCATGATAGATAGATACTCGTGCTAACACGAGTAAAAATCATCAGCACAGTAAAATATTTGCAAACTTTGTTGTACCCTGTTAGTAGCCTTAAAATGTCATACTCACACGCAATATTTATATTTAAAATCACAGTATTTGATTTTAAAAACATTTCGAGGCCATCAATAATGAATGTTCGGATGGTCTTTTAATTAACAGACACATTTTAAATGTATGGAGTTTGAAGGAGAATTATAAACAAGGGTGAAATAGTGTTAAAAATGATCCTTCCGAGCATTAATGCATGTCTTGATTAAACACTGCAGTTGCTGGCGTAAAATAAACTGAATGAATGTGGCCGTGGGTGGGGGAGGGCGGCCACAGTTGGCCACCCTGTAGTGCCGCCCCCGATTAAAGTGACTCTTGGGCTGTTTGGTTACCTGTAAGGGTGCACGGTGGTCGACACGATAGCACAATGGCCTCACAATGCAGAGATGCAGGGTTCGATCCCGGCTCCGGTCTTCCTGTGTGGAGTTTGCATGTTCTTCCAGTGCCTGCGTAGGTTTTCTCCAGGTACTCCGGTTTCCTACCACATTCAAAAAACATGCACAGCAGGCTGATTGAACACTCTAAATTGTCCCTCGGTGTGAGTGTGAGCGCGGATGGTTGTCCGTCTCGATGTGCCCTGCGATGAGCTGGAGGCTGATTCAGGGTGTCCCCGGCCTACTGCCCGAAGACAGCTTGAAACGGTTCCAGCATGCCATACCACCCTTGTGAGGATAAAGCGGATCAGAAAATGGATGGATGGATGAATGGATGGAGTTCTAAAAAAAAAAAAAACCCTCAACATTTAAGTTTGTCGTTGTATTTTGGAAAAAGTTCAGTGTATATGAATACTTTTCAAGGTACTGCAACTGTTGTATAAATCCCATCGTTGAAAAATAGTTTTTTTGTGCTTTAAGTTTGTGGAAATGTACTCTAAAAAGTGTACAGCGGTTATTTGCTGCCCCCACGAGGTAAAAACTCCAGTCGCATCACAGTCAGAGGGGGCTTAGGCTTTAAAAGTTATGATTTTCAGGATATGGTGGATCAAAAGGCCGCTGATGGTGTGTGATAAACTCGCTGAACTTGGAATCGGTTCCCACTCAGTGAAGGTGTGCATATCGGTGTGACGGGTTGTATATTTCTATATGTGTCCTGCGACTGACTGGCTACCAGTTCAGGTTGTAGCACGCCTTCCGCCCGAAGTCAGCCCGGATAGGCTCCAGAAACTCCTCAGGATAAGCAGTGTTGAAAATGGATGGGGGATCACAGCGACGGAACCTGAAATTTAATTCAGAGCCATCGAAAACCTGAAGCGGAAGTAGACTCATGAGAGGGATCACAATTGCTCATTGCGCGAATTCAAAATCTCGTTTTATGTTTTCATTGTACTAAGTGGGGCTTAAAACGTGTGTGATCTGTTATATGGGTCGCATTTAAAGAGTAAATGAGACGTCAGTTATTTGAATTTCGTGGGTATTTGAAGAGGAATCAGGCGGAAGTGACGCATTATTGGTGGAGAATGAGGAAAAGAGCTGGGGGCGCCGTTGCGTGGTATTGAAATCGAATTCGTCACATTTCAGATGGTGACGTAACTAATGCGTTCAGCCTATGTAATGAACGAAAAGCGTAATAGCTTGGGATATTTATTCGGCCGTTGATGTGTTCTACAGTTACGTACGATCGGATGGGTCACACTATATATAAACATATCTTCCTTGTGGAGGAGGCATCAACCGGTCCCATGGTGTAATGGTTAGCACTCTGGACTTTGAATCCAGCGATCCGAGTTCAAATCTCGGTGGGACCTCGTCCTTTTTTCCCTCCCCTAGCATTTGTACTGCTGCTTATTACTCGCAGACGATATTTATAAAAATAATAATAAGTTTCGGATGAGATAAAGTTGGTCCCAACAGACATACGAAGTGTCGAGTTTTTTTTTTTAACTTAACTGGTCCAAAAAAAATATACCGGTATATATATTTTCTTTTACCAATGCTAGCAGCGTACAGTACAGGCCTGACAATTAAATGGTATTCCACGCCATCAGGGGTGCACAAACCTTTCGTTTGAGGGCCGACTACAGAAACATGGAAGGATGAAAGGGCCACTTTAATTCTTCAACATTTTGAAACATGCTAAAGTCAATCAAGAAAGCAATTATGTACTGCTTGTATTGTGGTGATGTGATAACGTGGTCTGTGACCTATGGATTGCCGGCTCAATTTCCCAGTCAACATTGGGCCATGAGTAACCCGCGCTTCCATAAACGCCATACTTACAAAAATTGCACCATGTGATACGATGTGCTACCACACGTCAAAGATCTTTACCACCAAAAATGGTTTTGAGTTTCAAGAGGCAAGAACAATATCTGCTCAATTTAGAACAATACATTTAATATTATAATATCCAAGACGTTGGGAAAGTTGCTGTCCATTTATAGTTATTCACAAACAAATTGGAAGACTGAATACAGGGGATACATATGTGCTCCATTTTAAGCAGTTCAGTCAGTGTAAATTACAATCGGGAGTTCCAATCATAAATATATGATGTATTGTTCTTAGTTTGTGGCTGCATGACTGTATTATACTGCCTCCTGGTGGCCAAGGCCACCACCAGAAGGAGCAGCGCAATGGATTGGATTGCAGCAGTTAGTATGGATGCTTTACATTCTATAAAGTATAAAGTACAATATTATGACTTTTGAGACTGGATATTGAACTAATTAAATGTGTCTATCAGGGTATCACTGTTTTTAGATTTCAATTATGGGCAGCAGGGTGGGGTAGTGGTTAGCATGTCAGCTTCGCAGTTGAAAGGTTCTTGCTTCCTGATACTCCGGTTATTAGCTTGTTAAATTAACTTAAGTCTGTAAACTGGCCAGAAGTGTGAATGTGAGTGTAAATGGTGTTATATGTGCCCTACAACCAAGCCAGGTCATATCCCACCCTCTCGCCCAAAATCAGCTGGGAGAGGCTACAGCTAAACAGCTTGAAAAGAAAATCTTTGTTTAAAACATATCATAATAACGGTAAAACAAAATTCAAAAACTGTTTCATGTGTCATAGGGTGTTGTGTGTTTAGAATCTTGAAGGAGGAAAAACTGAATTGAATTTTCATTCATTTATTCTTTTTTTTTGTACTAAACATGAAATACTTTGAATACTTTCTGGGTGCCCTGTAAAAATGTATATATACTTCTCGGCTCCACTTTCGAGCCTACAACTAATAGAGCCCTAGCAGTCCCTACAGTTGTTGACTGAGGACACTATATGAGGAAATAAGCAATAAATCAAAGGTTTAACTCTACAGCCATGTACTATGTACATGAAGTGACTATAAGGTCTCGAAAATGATACAAATGATGTATTTGACAGTGTACACGTGCATAAATTGAAGCTGTTGTCTCAAAAAGTGTGAAAAGCATGCTTGTTTTGCAAGTGCTCTTATAATATGTGGGACCAGGGGCGCAGATGGGATTTTGGAACTGGGGAAGGGACGGGGAGGCGATGTTTTTGATTTGAATGATTTTTTGTTTATTCATTTTACCCTTATTTCTGAACACCAAAATAGGCACTGCACGGCTACTTGTTTGTTCGGACCTCACCCTGTAAAAATAAAAAATTAAAAAGAGATATTGGCTAAAATAAAAAGAAAGATGAGTTATTTCCATGTATATTTAAAATATATATCTTCAGAAGTACAAATTCCAACATTTTGTTTGGGTGTAACTTAAACGCATCAGTAGTTGAAGCATAACACCATAAGCTATTGTGGCTCCATGTCCGTCCCAGTTGAAGAGGAACATGAATCCTCCATTTTACAGGAGATTTTTGCCCCCTCACTTCGCGACAGATCGCGGTCTTTATGAAACTGAGGGGCATGTGTCACACCCCATCCCCAGTGCCATCTGCGCCCATGTGTAGGACTATGTTTTTTTTTTTTGTATTAACCTTTTCATCCACCCTGTAACCTGATAACATGATAAGCTGTCCACTGTAGTAACCGCTGTCCCAGAAAAGGGTGAAAAAAAAAAAGAGGGGTGCCCCTTCAGCTATGGCACATTTCGGTGGTCTGCAGCTAGTTTAGCACGTCCACCTCCCCGTTGCTGCACTCCGCACTTCTCGCTGGCTGCCTGCCGGACAGGATGCGAGCGTTCTCGCCGCTTTTCCAATCGCTATCGGGTTGTTCCATGCTGACGGTGGCGCGACTGGTCTCGGTGATTGATGAATTGTTGTGGTCGCTGAAGTGGCTAAAGTTGACAGGGGTCTCTCCCCAGCCTGTCTTACCCCACGCCGATTTCCACTGGCCCCATTTTCTCTGCAGCGCCGTTTGAGCCTGATGGCGACAGGAAAACAGTGGTGACAGTCGAAATTCAAACAATGGAGCCCCAGGCATGACATGGCCGGTAAGGGGAATTCAAATGTCGCCACTTTGTAAATAAAACATGCGCACAATGCAAATTTGTGGCAACAAAGAAGGTGTAATAATAACATGTCCAATTTTGAGGCCACTTGTGGCACCACGGTGGACAGTGGGGGCAAGCAAAAAGAGTGTGGCACTAAACCTGCACAATGGAAGGGATCGCATCAATTCGTTTTAGTTTAGGGTGGTGATGAGCTGCGTTCATTAAAATTCGCAGGAGGCATTTATTGGTTATTAAGAGCAAAGTTGCTTGACCAGCAGAGGTATGACCTGAAGCACATTGTGTATTGCAGTTTCAAGCATAGGGCATTAAATTTGATTAGTTGTTCAAGGGAGTCATATTAAACTAACACATTCGTATTCCATGTGCATAGTATGCCTATCTCGCAGCCTCATAATAGATTGATTTTTTTTTTCACCAAACACCGCACGCGCATGATGAAATCGATGCTCAATCCACAAAATCAATATAGCTGACAAAGAACTAGAGTCCAACTGATGCAGTATCATTCAGACTTTGTGGCTTGTAATGGTAACATACCTCACTATTGCAGAAACATAATATGATTGCCACCAGGAGTCCCTGTAATACAAAAATAGTAAACATGAAGAACGGTGGCAATGTACTATTGTGTCTTTGAATTTCATGAGCTAAAAGATATATGCAAATCAACATGTAGCATATGGATTTTCAACATACTGCATTACCACACTTCCTGAAATGCTATTCTGGCCTCTGCACTACTTATCTGCCACGTTTTTTTGATTGAACTCTTTCATGCACCCTGTAACCTGATAACATGATAAGCTGTCCTTGAAAGGTTTAATTAAATAAATAAACTCTGCATCGGTTGGTGCCTTCGGCTGGTTGTGATTAGCTTTCCTCTGAGATCTGATCGCACCGCTTGTCGCGATAGTTGTCTTTTACCACAATACCTGCTGACTGTACAGCAGATGTGGCAGTCGTAAAGCTGAAATTTATGATAGCGATGGAAGAAAGGTTTAAAGGCCTCCTCCCTAATAAACTTTGTTGCACTTCGAATAGCAGTGGTGAGATTGGAATGACGTAAAAATACCTCAAAGCAGAAATATTCTGTTCCTGTAAAAAAGATCTTTATTTATTTATTTTGTTAAATTTGTGCTTCAACCACCTTTGGCCCAGATGTCTGCCTACTACTCTCTGCAGCTGAGTAAATAAATGCCACAAGCTACGACACGAGGAAATACTGTAATTTGACTTGGTCTTGTGCTTTTATGGCTAAGCAAAGGTTGTATTTTTTTTTTTTTTTTACCTGAAAATGGCAGAAAATATTTACGAAGAAGTCATAGATGGCCCGACTGATGCGCCCCTCAGGCCTCCAGGGAACGAGAATAAATTGGACTCCGAGCAGAGGGATGAGGATGAGCGTGGCTCTCACAGCCTTCATGTAGGTAGTGGACTCGGCACAGTGGGTCTCCTTCAGCTTGGTGATCAGAACACGCAAAATGTTCAGGAGAAAGAACAAGTTCACCTGGACACAGAAGAGAGGGGGATAAGCATGGAATTTTTTATTTGTATTTTATTTTTTTACATTGCTGACCAATATTTAAGGAAATATTATGGTGGCATATAATAGTGCTCAATTTTGAGTGACACTGTCACACGGCTATTAATTTAACATCTTTACCACTGTTCGTTGCAGATTGTTGCTACTACAAATTTGGATGTCAACACAATGTCTGGGTGTACGCTGAGCATATACACTTTGATCAATTGCTCACCAGCAGTGCTGCTTGAATGGGTCCGTGAATGATGTAAAGCAGGTAAGTGTTGGAGTTGATCCAACACCTGAGACACAGACAGTATCAATTACAAGTTCGAAAATAGTAGACGATAAGGCACAGCAAAAGGTTGTTACTCACCCTGACCGCTAATCGACCCTAATGCAAAAAAAATAATTGAATCCTAACCCCAAAATTCACCCTAACCTCTGAACTCTATTTTAATTCACCCTTATCCTAACCTAATCATAAACCCTAAACCCAATACAAACTGTAATTAAAAAAACAAAACAAAACTTAATTCTGACATCTAACCGACCCTAAATCTAACTCTGCCTCACCCCAAACCCAAGCCTCCCCAAACCCACGCATTTATGACCCAATGCTTACCCCTGAATGACATCACTACCCTGGTTGCTTACTTGTCATTAAAGAAGAGCCCGCGAGCCACAGCATAGGTGATGGCAGGAATGATGGGAAAGCCTGGCGATAGGAGACACACGTCAGACTTTCGTTCCAATACGGCCAAATTCAAGTCAACTCCAGGGCTGATTCCATGGCACAGCTTTAGTCACACTTTTGTCTGCATCGCTCTTGTATACTGATGTCCGTGTTTGTTTGTTTAATAAACATATCAAGAAAGTCAAAGAAAATTCATTCCAAATCTATCAAATAAACATGTTATACTTAGAACAAACACTCAGCATACGATGCTTCACAAAAATAATGCAGCCGATGACCTGGTGCGTCTTATTTATTTATTTATAACCCTTTCAAGGACGGCGGTTACTACAGTGGACATCTTATCACGTTATCGGGTTACAGAATGCTTGGAAGGGTTTGAAGACGCCCGTGATATTGCGCCTAATAATACGGTGCACCAAATAGTCTGCTTGTTTTGGATTTTTGATGGACACCTGTATATCAAAACAAACGGAACATTCGGTTCAATTTTAAACGTGCATTTCATCTACTAAGGAAATACAATGACGGTGATAACACTCACCCCACCCCAAGACATAGTACCAGAAGAGCTTCTGCTCCCCGACAAAGACGGCCACGATGATGAGAGTGTGTAGGTAGATGCCCTCGCACAGCATCCAGAAGTAGTTCGAGGTCAACGTGTATTGGGTGAGCACAGCCAACACTTTACAGCTCACCTGCCGGAGAGAAAGTGTGATTTATAATCTCAAAACCAACACAAGCCGACAGTTTGGGGTGAATCAATAAGATGTGGTTTCTTGATTATGATGCGGTGAACTCACAGGGTTGCTGGTGTTTATGGCCTGGTTATTGGCGGCTGTCAGAGAGAGCCACATGATGGTTACAATCGAGTTAAAAATAAAGGAGAGGAACATGTTCTTGTGGAGGGAAATTCTCTGGCAGCTAAGACTCCTGAAAAAAGGGGCAAAAATGTCACTTTTTTAATGGGTTTATCCAAGTACCATAGATCATCCGTACACGTTTTTCATTTAAAAGTTTTCTTCATTCATGTATTTCTTTATACAGTGGAACCCGACAGTTGAATGCAACCCTTTCCATTCTCTGGAGCTTCGCTTTGGAAATGGTGAAAATAGAAATAGGTTTGCATGTTAGCTACAGAAAAAAATGAATCAGAAGTGCGAGGACACCAGCGTGAACGTCACCAAAATAACAACTGCCGAGCACCAACGTCTGTCATTTGTGAGCTTGAGCTTTTTAAATTCCACTCAGCAGAGCAAAAACATACTTGGCAAAGACTCTTCGAAAATTCACCGAACAACCCTGACTAAACTTAGCCCCTCCCCCGACATACAAAGCTCTTCAAACAGTCATGATGTGTCACTTCAACATGCTTCCTTGACATGAAATACGACATTGCTTTTAGTCAGGGCTTTGGCGGCAACTTGTGGCAAACATGTGTTTGTCGGTCAAAGAGCTGAAGAACCTAAAGGTAAATTTGTGATGAGCGAAGAGGAAGTAGGCAGAATCCCCGCCTACTTGACAGGCAATTTTTCAACATAACTCATCAGAATTGTGACCCTTGAAGGTCACCGACAAAACACAAACGGTCATAAGGCAATTTTTCAACATAACTCATCAGAATTGTGACCCTTGAAGGTCACCGACAAAACACAAACGGTCATAAGGCAATTTTTCAACATAACTCATCAGAATTGTGACCCTCGAAGGTCACCGACAAAACACAAACGGTCATACCCACTCAGATTGTCGACAGGACGTGAAAGGACTAAAATTCACTCACTTGAAATAGGAGAAGATGATGAGGCAGATGATGAGCGAGACGATGGAGAGGCCGTGACCCACCATGGCCAGGTAGTACAGACTGATGGCAAACTGCACAAAACAAGTAGAAATCACTTTCTTCTTAATTCATTTCCACCCAAATCAAGTCTCCAAAATGATATCTAGATGTGAGCTTCAGCTAAGATGTCATATCTTGAAATCAACATTGTCCAACAATGGTAAGGCACTGCCAACAGTAACTGAAGCAATGGCGGCCATTCATCCATTTTTTTTAAACAACACACCTTCTCCTCAGGGTGGGGTACACGAAACAACTCCACACAGGAAGGCCTGAGTCAAGAGTGGAACCTGAGACCCTCTCGACTGTGATGCAGACGTTCTCATCGGTAGCTTTTCGACTGTCATTTTTCATTCATTTCATTGTATCCCTAAGAAAGACATTTAAGTGCATTATTTTCACCTTGAGTTTGTCCTTGGTGTAGATTTGACACTGGGTGTAGTTGGACCACACTCTGTTGCTCTCTGGGTGGTGGAACCATTGTCCATCAGGATTACAAACTTTGGTGACTTTTTCTGTTGGACAAAATAATCAAATTTGACTTTGAAGTGATATGTTGTTCATTTATTTTGTATTGGCCTTCTCCTGGCCTCACCAGCAGGGTCAAAATCGTGGAAGTATTCTGGGCACATCTGTATGACCGTCCCTGGAGACGAATCCCCCCAACACAGCCAGCCGTCCCATGTGCGGTTACAGTAATTACCTGCAGGGAGCAGTAGATACAAGAGCGACATGAGTGGTCTGGAAAACAAGGGCTTACGCCAGTCTGACACAATGAAATGAAAGGAACACAATCAGCGTGTTGAGAAAAGTTGTTTGACTAAGATTTTTTTTGTGTCATGAGATCAGACCTGCACGATATTGGGAAAACATGCTATATGTGATATGTATGGCATGTGATATATATGTATAAAAATGTCACTGGCATGATCCATCCATCCATTCTCTGAACCGCTTCGCCTAACATGGGGCACGGGGCATGCTGGAGCCTATCCCAGCTGTCTTCGGGTAGCAGGCGGGGTACACACTGAACTGGCTTCCAGCCAATCGCAGGGCACACATACACAAACAACCACTTGCGCTCACTATCACATTGAGGAACAATTTAGAGTGCTCCATTAACCTGCCATGCATGTTTTTAGAATGTGTGAGGAAACCGGAGTACCCGGAGAAAACCCACACAGACACAAACTACACACAGGAGGGCTGGAGCTGGGAATCGAAACCTGCACTTCTGCACTGTGAGGTGGACGTGCTAACCAGTCGACCACCGTGCCGCAAGTATGTTTTATATATATATATATATATATATTTCGGTCATAATCCGAATACACACACACAGACACATGATATACATCTGAAGGCCAAATGTTAGGCAAACAAAAAAAAAAGCTGATGACTACATTAATTTTGGGAGAAAATTTCCCACTTCAGTTGTTAAAAAAAAATCAAAGTTTGAAGCCTTTTCTTCAGAGTACCTCACACAAGGCAGGAAAAAAATCGATAGGTGGATAGATGGATGCAGTAATTTGTGAGCGTGAGAATTATTTGAAAGTGGAAACTCAATTGTTAGAGTGAACAGAGTCCCAACAAATGCACAGAACAGCTTGAATGCTTGAACATTTTAAACGCCCAGTCATATAAATTAACTTCATCAACATCGATTGCATTGTCCACACAAGCTGCCTCTCCGCAGCTGGGCCGCTGATACAGGGCCAACAATAGACGGAAGCCGGGTAGTAGCAGGCTGCCGAGCAGCATGTTGGGATGCCAATCGCAAAATAACATTTCAAAGGCGGAATAGAGTCGAGCAGCAGTTAAAAGCAGTGCGACTAGACAAAGGCCAGGTTTCCTTTCTTTCATACTCACATCCTCTTTCTTTGCAACAACCGCTGTATACTTGTATATTTGAATGAATTACTGTAGCACCAAGGCAAAGGGCATCTGAGGTGAATGAGAGACAACTTGAACAAATGTATTTTTCTGTCTAATATAATTTGAAATGGCTAATCCTATATGCTAGTTTTCTTTCTACTTCAATTACCGGTACTTTGTTTGGCAGGAGTAAAGAATGAAAATGGAATGTCTTAAAGGTCGACCTCAGTCCGATCGAGGATGTTTGCCCACCTCTTATTAGTTTTGGATTTCCCCATTGTAAATAATGAAAATACAAAATAATCTCGACAATATATTAGAGCAGGGCGGCCCGGTCCTCGACAGGTTAGCGCGTTGGCCTCAAAGTGCAGAAGTGCAGGGTTCGATTCCCAGCTCCTGCCTTCCTGTGTGTAGTTTGTGCCTGCGTGGGTTTTCTCCGGGTACTCCGGTTTCCTCCCACATTCCAAAAACATGAGTGGCAGGTTAATGAAACACTCCAAAATGTCCCAAGGTGTTATTGTGAGCACAAATGGTTGTTCGTCTATGCGTGCCCTGTGATTGGCTGTCAATCAGTCCAGGGTGTACCCCGCCTACTGCCCGAAGATAGCTGGGATAGGCTCCAGCACAACCCGCATCACACCTCTCTCCCTCTTATTTCATACAAATTTCCCCTTCTCCCTCAAATGTGTTTCATTTCATAAGCACGTGATGAACTGATGATTATATGTCATTCGAGGTTTCACATTTCCCATTTTCACGCTTTCCTATCATGAAAACAATTTTACTTCATCCAGCGTGTCCTATTCTCAGTCTTGTGAGGATTGTTTCTTCTTTTCGACAGTGACCTTCTTGTCTCATTTCTCCCACGAAAGGGATGACCGAATATAAATCTCTCCCTGTACTTCCTTTGTTACGTTAATCTTTCCAGATCTTTTTGACTTAATTTTAAATAATTGTTTTGTTGACATAAAAGGTAAAGAAGGTGGGCTAATGTTAATGTGCATGAAGAGCGGTCATCTGTGTTTACAACACATGCCATTAATTAAACACGGCATTCAATGTATCCTGGCTGGGCCACCAAGATTAACATATAAACAGTGATTCCCAACCAGTGCACCGTGGCACTTTAGTGAAAATAAAATACAAAAGGATTTATTTACTCGCAAAAAAAAAAATAAATAAATGTTTGCCAGTGGCGTAGAGTAACAGGCAGAGTGATTAAATGCTCACCTCAGGCAGATGGTACATAAATAAACTACTGTGTGTGTCCACTTTTTGTGAAAATTTAGTGAGGTGGTGTGCTGTGAGATTATTTTGCCAATGTGAAATATGTGCCAAGGTCCAATAAAGGTTGAGAAAGTATCAGACTTCCGGGTCACTTCCGGGTTGAGTGAACGCTGGCGCGTCTGGCTGCCGCTGCTCACCCGCTATTATTCTTTTTTAGCGTTTGTTTTACGGGTTTTTTTACGGTTTACTCTCGTCATGGGAGAAACCCTCCTCTCCTGTCGCAATTCGTTGTGGTTTTGGACCGTCGGTCGTCGCACGGTTGCCCTCGGTCGCGCTGTCGCGGCGTCCTGCCTGTTCGGCTGTCGGACGGTGCTCCGTGCCTTCTCCGCCCCTCTGCGCCCCGTGGTGGGGGTCGACGGGGCCTGTGTCTGGGCTACGCTGCTGTGGACCGTCCTGTCGCTCCTCCGTCTGCCCGTGGGGGGACTGCTGCGGTGCTCAGT